TCCACCAGCAGATGATTCAGCTTCTGCTGACTAGGAGCTCAGACCTGGACACTCAGCTGCTCTCCATCCTAAACACTCCGACCTACGAGTCAGCAGGTTTCACGTGTGAATAAGGAACCATCAGGAAATCCTGTTTCTAATGTTAGACGTGTTCATTCCAGGTTGTTCTGAGAAATAAGATAAAAAGGAAATAAGAATAAAAACACGAGACAATTCAGAGGAAACATTAAAGCTGCTGAAAACACCAACAGGTGGTTAACTCACAGAGCCGAGGAAAACAGCTTTGTTCGACTCTAACGGCTCAGATTTTATTCATATAGCAGAAATATTGTGTGAAGGAGCAACGTGATAGGTTCACACTGCAAAGGTAGAAATAGTTCTATGCTGATGTAGATCTGTATGAATCCTTTCATGAGGTGATTCATTAAGATCTCAGAGACGCGTCTGCACTCAGATGTAAAACAGCTCTATGAGAATTGTAATTTTAAATCTATCCTGCATTCATGAAGGTGCAGCAACCACAGCTGGGTGCTGCGTTTAAACAGGTTTTCTCAAGAGTGGAAAATAAATAAAGCATCAGCGTGATTTCAGGAGAGCAGAAACATCTGCAGTTGATGTCATCGAGTCACTCCCGTGGCTGAGCTCATATTTTCGTCATTCACTTCCTCAAAGATGGTTTCACCTTTCCTGGGATCAACCAAGATTGTAATTTGTTGTCATTTATGAAACAGACTAAAGTCTTACCATCTTATAAAGATCAGACACACTTATCTGGTCCTCATCGACCATCTCAAACTCCTTCCTCGGGACCAGGTCCAGACCCAGGTGTCTGAGAAGTAGAGGTGAGAGGACAGTTACATCTGATCTGGAAACAGTAGCACAACCCTTTACCTTCATCTGAAACCTGCACACATGTGCACACATCACATCTAAGATTAAATCCAGGGTCTTCTCTTTGTAACGTCCAGCAATGGTCAGTTTTTAGGTACAGTTTGACCCTTCAACATCTGTCAAAATGGAGACACGAGACTGCATGTGTTCCCTTTAAATCGGCCTGCCTTCATCCCATCAGTTGGAGCTCAGAGCCTCTCTGCAGCTCTGAACACATGATAACGAATTGTCAACAATAATGTTCTCTCCTCAAGGTCCAAGCTCCCCTTATCGTCCTACAGGATTCTTCATGCCTCCACATAAGGAACACTCGCAGCTCGGATTAGTTGCTAAATCAAAGAATGATTTTGTAAATCAGATATGAACTTCTAAAACTTATAAGCTAGATAATCATTAAATAAACATTTGTTTATTGCTACTACTAATAATAATTATAGTAAAATGAAATGTTTTCATTAATCTGTGCTCAATGATTGAAGTTCGAAATTAATGTTGTTATGATTACAGTGACTGATATATGTTTCAGCGTGTTGATACGACAAGGTCATCACCATTTGCACTCACACAAGGACAAGTTAAGTTAAACGCGTGACACATAGAGAGTCCTTTACCCCAGATCAGAGCATCCAGATCAAAGAAGGCGTGTTTCTGAGTTGTCTTGGTAATATTCCTCAACTTGTCAACCTCTGGTTGGCTACACAAATCATAACATGAGAACATTAAAACTGGATCACTCTGGTGATTCGTCAGTTCTAGAGAAAGCTTCAGACCGGCCATCTGAAGCAAAACCTCTTTAACCCATCAAAGCTTTTGACACGTCATCAAAATCTTTTTGCACCTGCGATGCTGATACCGCAACAGTTCCTGCAGAACAAGCTGATATTGTTCAGACTCCTTAAGAGTCCCAGACGCGCGGTTCCATCCATCTGTTGTGACCTGGAGACAACTCAAAGACCGGTCTAGTAGTGCCGCAGTTTCTTCTATGGACCTCGGTGCCTGGAAGTCCGAGGACTTCGACATTCCGGAACTATCACGAGGGTCTTCGAGTGGGTATGTAGACATGACAGATTGCGTCTGATGTGTTTTTGATAATAATCAACTTCATAGCTTAATGCAAACCAAATTCTTTTACATCCAGAACTCAGCTCTCTTAGATACGGAAGTTCTGATAACATCACATTCACATATAGGTTTCATACACCACATCTCGCTCCATCCATCACAGTAAATGTTAGTTAACCTGTCATTTTTTTATTGTTTGTAAAATAAAGTCTTACTTTTATAAACCTGACTCTTTTCTGAATCAAAACGAAGTGTGTACAATCCCTTAATAAATAAAGAATCCTAAAATCTTCTGATTAAACATCCAAAGACCAAGCAGGTTGATACTCTATATTTAGATAGAGTATCACAGCTTATTGGTCATAAGTAGAGGTGATACATATTGAGCTCTTAAAGCACTCAATTTACCAAACCCTACATCTTTAGTCACATGGAACACACCACAGCCCAAAGGCAAAGAGCTCAAGGAAAGGATGCAAATTTCTGAATTATTCTATTAAATCTAAACCATAAAACAAGATTTTAAAAGTTTGGGGGTTTTGATTATTTCTTAACATTTTATTCCCAAACAGGTTTAAATGCAGCATTTATATGATTTAAAGTAACAAAAGATTAATTGAGTGTAAACTTTTATTTCCAGGATGCTTCAAAAGTTTTATTTTTTATTTTTTATTAACATTCAATCAAATTATTGGACTCATGTTGGTGTTTCTGGTCTGAAAGATCCCTGTGAGGGATTCATGAAAATAATTATATTTTTAGTAATTACTGGCGCTTCGCTGCTCATTGGCCTTACGAGACCTTTCACAGGGCTGAATATTTAGCTGCAGTGAAACTTCTCAGTAAACTAACTTCCAGGTTACTAATAACAGTGTCTGGCCTTCTCTCCCACCAGCTGCTCGCTGCTTTAGCATCGATCTAGAGTAAATAGTTTTATTTATTTAACCTTTATTTAACCAGTTGAGTCAATAGACTAAACACAACAATCCTCATTAAAAAATAATCGTTTTCTAACAATGTGCACATGAACGGCGGGGGAGGTCAAATAAGTTCCTAAATCGTTTGACAATAACAGAAGCTTCTACCTTCATCAGATTAAACTCAAATTGACCAACAAAAGGGCATAATCTGGATTTTCTAATCAGAAAAGAACAAATAAGCTGCTTTGTATTTTCCTGGGAGTTCATTTCCTTACTGGTCTCAGGTCAAATACATCGGAGTACCTTACTAATAAGGCAACGGGCGTCTTTGTCACTTTTTCAACCACTTGCATCCATTTTTAATTTATCAGCCACATGCCGTATCAGAGGGAGGAAATTCATCTACTGACGTGCGCTCATAAATCCAAACTTCCTGGATACTGCGCCATTCGGTTCTGTTGAGAAGGGTCGTTTCTAGAAGCTGTGTGTGTGTGTGTGTGTGTGTGTGTGTGTGTGTGTGTGTGTGTGTGTGTGTGTGTGTGTGTGTGTGTGTGCGCGTGCGTGTGTGTGTGTGTGTGTGTGTGTGTGGTTTCTCACTCGTTGCCCCAGTCCAGTCTGACGGTGATGTGTCTCTTGACGTCTCTGCTCTGATCCTGGGTGAGGTGGCCGGACAAAAGCTGCCTTCTCAGGTCGATTAGCTCCATCATCACGTGACGAACCTTGTAGAACAAATCGACCTTGTGTTTCTGACGGACAAAGAGAAAAACAGAGAGAACTCTGGATTAATGTGATGTTATGATAAAAATCAAATATTTTATCAAGGTTTGAATTCTCATCATTAGACGGTCACATGACTTGGTGCACATTTCCTTAAATATTGAGATACGCACATAATAATACTCGAGGTCTCTGGGATGAAGATGAGTCAGTGGTTGGTTTAAGAAAAGAAAGAATGGAGCTCCACTAATGGTCTGAGCAGCAGGGCTCTCCTAAAGCTCATTCTATTATTAGAGCTCTACTTTCTCCTGTGGCCACACACACACACACACACACACACACACACACACACACACACACACACACACACACACACACACACACACACACACACACACACACATGGGTTCGTGTCATGTGTGTGAGTACTTTCTGTGACGTAAACATTTGTGAAGGTCGAGCTGTAAACCCAGCAAAGGAAAAGCAGAGAGCATCAGCAACATTAAACACACGTCTCCTTCCATCACAACCATTATATAACCGGGGCTGGAGTGGAGGTGGAGCTGTTTTGGGAACCTCGGCTCAGGAACAAGACAACAAGACTTATTACTTCTGAGGTTTGAGCAGGAGGGTGCAGAAGTTAAACAAACAGAGAGATATTAGAACGACTGGATCAGAAGCGGAAACAACAGCAGAGGTCATGTCTTAATCTTTCAGTGCATGATTGAAGGTATGGCTCGGGTGAGGCAGGTTCTGCTTTATCTGGTTTTCACCTGAACTCCTTTAGAGTTAGACAGCAGTTCAGAATCATCTAAAGCTCAAGTAGAAACAACTAAAACTGGGTTTAGAACGCCATTAGAAACAGAAACCAGTTATGTTGGAAAAGATTTTTGAATGATCAGCGATTGCTTAAACGTTGGTGAAATCAAATCATAAAAACCCTCAACAGTGGAAAAACACGTTCAGCAGCGAATGATAAAATTATGAATGACCCACACCTGGAGTCAGCGCTTTCAGAGGACTCCAAAGCGCTTTACACTAGTCCACTACGACCAGCATTTCCAGCGGCACAATGCAGAAGGGACTTCAGAGACAATGCAGCTGTGGATCCTCAAGAAAAGCACTGATCAGTGAGGGTAACCGGCATCAGTTTCACAAGGACGATGAACATCTCTGGAGAGCTAGATGAAGATCTTGTGGTCTGATGAGGAACTTTCTGTTCCAGCATGAAGAACACCGTCATTCTTCTGGGGTTGTTGCATCTAGTCAAGTCAAGGTTCAGCAACATTATGAGCTCGGTGAGTGAGGCAGCTGACCACCTGATTATACCAAACAACCAGCAAAGTTCTGCTTTTCTGGTAGAACAGGCATGTTCCAAGGTGACAGTACCGCCATCAGCCACAGAGCTCAGACCTTAATCCCACTGAAAGTCTTTTGGAGGTGCTGGAGAAGAATTTGCACATCTGTCCAACTCTCCCATCATCTCCACAAGATCTTGGAGAAAGGTGTCTAAAGGACCTGGGGTAACATGGAGGACATGTGACTCGTGCAGTGAGGTTAATGAAAGTTTCATTTTGGGCGTCACTCTTAACCAGGTTCAGATTCTTTATTCCCATCAAAGGTTAAAGTCAACAGATTCAAGTCTTCTTAACCTATAAATGTAAAACTAACGAACTGGGAGATTTTACAGTCTCTTAAAAAATCTCAACCTGAGAACACAAACTCAAACAGGACACCTAAGAGTCGGACACCACAAATCTGTATTCTTCTAACCCTAGAAGCAGGAAACACTTAACCAACTAATAGCCAACACTTGGATAACAAACACTTCTAGGGGGGATCAACTGTCAGCTCAGGAGTCAAGAGCTCTTCTTCTTCTCCTTCTTCTTCTTCTTCTCCTTCTTCTCCTTCTTCTCCTTCTTCTTCTTCTTCTTCTTCTTCTTCTTCTTCTTCTTCTTCTTCTTCTTCAATGGTGGGTGGCATCTAATGTCTAGGTGCATTTCTGCCACCTACTGTGCTGGAGTGTGAGATGGAATAAGAGCACCAAAAACAAAACAAAAATAAATAAATTATTTTATAAAAAATAAATGAACTAGATTCTATTCAACAAACCACTTTGCTTTAAATACTCAGTCACCAACTTATATTTCCTGTCTCCACCATTTAACAAAGTCTTTACTTTCATCCCCCACCTCTTATGTTTTTTAATTTCTCCCTGAGTTTTCCTCTACTTTCCTCATATACAGTTACATAAAACATGTTCCAGTTTCCCTCTCTACCCCACATCCACACAAACCTGTAGGCTTCTTGAGGATCTGATTCATAAAGTCTTTTATTCTTTAGTCTTCTTCCAGCCGCTGATTGCAACTCCACACAGCTGGTGATGCAGGGCGGAGCCAGGTGGAGGAGCAGGAGGCGGGCGCAGCCTGCATCGCACCGATGTACGAGTACTTTTTCATAAAATATTAAACCGAAGGAAAGCCCTCCTCACACAACCAGCATCTCCTCCTCCAGCTTCTTTCATAACTTTCTGCTGGAGTTGATTAGCATGATTTCAGAGCTCCAGATTACAAATACTAAAAATTCAGCCCAAGAGTGGCACATTTTAATGGGTTTTTGTTGGTTGGTTAGCAACGCAAAGAGCATTTCCCCTTTGTATCTGTTTAGCATTGGCTTGTAAGGAGATAACCAGCTGATACTTTTTGATGCACACTCTGGCTCCAGACGTGGGACTGTAGAGCGCAGCTTGAAGCTCACAGCAAAGGAAGAGGATCCAATTTACATTTAGCTGATCAAACACAAGCAATGTGATCAGTGATGAGCTTTAGGCTTGGATTGCTCTTACAAATGTAACAAGAGATAAACAACGAAGCCAGTAAACATCACAAAGTATACAAAACACCTGAATTCAGAGTTGTAAAGGACATGCATCAGGTTATTCTACACCTTCCAGAGCAACCAGAGGCACGATACATGACACAAGTTATTTTCATGGGCCATTACTTCTGCCTGGAATCAAGATGCAAGGATTCGATGAAATCTCGCCTCCACCCATGTGAATTTCACCCATTTCCAAATGCAACCCAAGATGTCCAGCATAGCAGCTTTTGCAACACGCCAACAGCAATGAACTGTCCATCAGTAGCACCAGGACATTTCCCAGTGGCCAACATTACACACTGAGTGATTTCTCAATGACCCCCCCACCCCACCATCAGAGGGTCGAGCATCACCCACCCACTACACAGAGAAACTGGACGTTAGTGTTTACAGTCAAAGAGGACCAATCCGGATTCAACACTACCTGGATGGGAAGGGGCGGGGCATGATGATGCACTGACGCCCAACCAGGCTTTTGCAATAGCTTAGCAGGGCTGAAGCGAAGAAGCAGCTGAGACAGGAAAATGCATGTGTGAAGCAAAAACCCACTTCGGGGGGGGGGGGGGGGGTGGGGGGTGGTGGTGGGGGGGGGGTGTTAATGAGGAAAGAATATAACGGGCTCAAAAAGTGGATTTTAGATGATATATGATCTTAATTTCTGAACAGGTGTAGTTTAAAGACAAATGCTGAGTGATAAACATTTTAAAATTTGCAGTTAAACAAAAACATCGCTGTTCTCATGTTTATGGGAGAAAGTGTGAACTGTACTGACGTCCAGAACGTTCCAACGTCGCCGTTTCAGAACGGCCCGTTTGCTCTCACACACCACAGGTGTCGGCACAAATGGCATTCTTCGATCAGCAGCGGGGTTATTAGTATTTTTCATGTATGTGGAGATTTGCAGAACCAGATTTCTGTTTGTTCCATGTCAACATCAAACCTCCAACATAATCTCAGCCACAATAGGTATCAAATAAATCAGAATACTTGTGTCAACATGCTTGGATTAAACCATTTCATTGCAGAATCAGAGAATCCAAATTCTAAAACTTTGCATGAGCCCTCCTGTTGAGAGGAATTAAAATCAGATCTAAGGTTGACTTTGAGGCAACAGGCAGGAATCCTCCCAGCTTTGCACCATCTGTAGTCTTATTTTTTCTCTAACAGCTTGCTCTGCACTAAAATCTTCTTTAAAAGCAGGCGTGTAGATTTATTTGGGACATCTGGTCATCACAGTCGGTGGGTACGTGAGCTTGAACTTTGTGTCCTCTTACAAGTTCATCAACTAGATCAGGAACGAGCGCACCAGCTGGCACAACGGGGGGAACTCTTCACCTTCGGCTGGCACTCAAAATATGGCTGCCCACACGGAAAACCGTGAAAACACTGAAACACGAAGTCTGAAATGAAACTGCCTGATGTGTCAGTCACTCGCAGGTACAGCAGAGCACATACGGATTCATTTTCTTCTTCCAGGGAGTAAAAATCGGTTTTCAGCGGCTCAAACTATTTGCAGATTCAGTTTCCCCCTGTAACCACCTCCTCTGTCTCTTTCCCCAGCCAGAGTGAGTAATCACACCTTCCATACCGCAGGAACTTACAAACACACATGCACTGAATAACACCACTGCAGTCATTTACAGTGGTGAAAAACTATTTGCCCCTTATTATGCTCTTATTCTTTTGCATGTTTGTCACATAAAATGTTTCTGATCATCAAACACATTTAACCATTAGTCAAAGATAACACAAGTGAACACAAAATGCTTTTTTAAATGATGGTTTTATTATCTAGGGAGAAAAAAAAAGTCCAAACCTACATTGCCCTGTGTGAAAACGCAATTGCTCCCTGAACCTAATAACTGGTTGGGTAATATTACTAATATAATAATGTAATATATCACAGCAAGCCTTCCAGGTCCTGAAGCAGCAAAAGAACCCCAGACCATCACACTACCACCACCATATTTTACTGTTAGTATGATGTTCTTTGTCTAAAATGCTTCTACGCCAGATGTAAAGGGGCATTTGTCTTACAAATAGTCTTGTCTCATCAGTCCACAAGGCATATCCCAAAAGTCTGGGCAATCATTGAGATGTTTCTTAGCAAAATTGACATGAGCCCTAATGTTCTTTTTGCCTAACAGTG